CTCTGACAGTGCAGCGCTCCCTCAGTACTGACCCTCTGACAGTGCAGTGCTCCCTCTGTACTTACCCTCTGACAGTGCAGTGCTCCCTCAGTACTGACCCTCTGGCAGTGTTGCTGTCTCTGTCAGCTGTGAAGATATTTAACAAGGTGACATATCAAAGCTTACCAAACACATTAAGAGCTCATGTGCTAGAGGGTAACACATTGGTCTGGAGTTAGGATCGGTTAGTTAATAGGAAAATAGGTCATTTTCGGGTTGGCAAGCGTAATGAGTGGAGTGTCACAAAATATCAGTGAAAAAATCAGTCTGAACTACTAACAATCTGTCTAAATGACTTGGATGAAGGAGCCGGATGTATTGTTGCTAAATTTCCAGGCAGGTAGACAAATAATTTGTGAAGAGGATAAGGAGTCTGGCAAGGGATATAGATGGGTTAAGTTAAGGGGCAAAAATTTGGCAGATAGAATATCATGTAGGAAAGTATGAACTTATCCACTTTGGCAGGAAGACTAGTAAAGCAATATTTTATTTAAATGAAAGGAAATTACCTAACTGAGATACAAGAGATCTGGGTGTTCTGGTACACATTTACAAATAGTATGTAGGTACCACAAGTGCTCTGGAAGACAAATGGAATGTTAGCATTTGTTATAAGGCAAATAGAATCTAAAAGTTTGGAAACTTTGTTCCAGTTATACAGAGCATTAGTGCGAACACATCTAGAATACTGTGAACAGTTTTGGTCTCCTTATCTAAGAAAGGACATAATTGTATGAGAAGCAACTCAGAGAAGGTTCATTCAACTGATTACTGGGATGAAGGGGTGATCTTATGAGGAATGGTTGAATAGGTTGGATCTGTATACACTGGAGTTTAGAAGAATGAGAGGTGATAAGACCATAAGACCATAAGACATAAGAGCAGAAATTAGGCCATTCAGCCCATCGAGTCTGCTCCGCCATTCAATCATGACTGATAAGTTCCTCAACCCCATTCTCCCACTTTCTCCCCGTAACCCTTGATCCCCTTGATAATCAAGAACTTATCTGGCTCAATCTTAAATGTACTCAATGACCTGGCCTCCACAGCCATCTGTGGCAGTGAATTCCATAGATTCACCACTCTCTGGCTGAAGAAGTTTCTCCTTATCTCCACTCTAAAAGGTCTTTCCTTTACTGTAAAGCTGTGCACTCGGTTCCTAGTCTGTCCTACCAATGGAAGCATCTTCCCAACATTCACTTTGTCCAGGCCATTCAGTATTCTGTAAGTTTCAATTAGATCCCCCCTCATCCTTCTAAACTCCAATGAGTCTAGTCCCAGAGTCCTCAAACGTTCCTCATATGTTAATCTTTCCATTCCTGGGACCATTCTCGTGAACCTCTTCTGAACCCGCTCCAGGGCCAGTACATCCTTCCTGAGATATGGGGCCCAAAACTGCACACAATACTCCAAATGTGGCCTGACCAGAGCCTTATAAAGCCTCAGGAGTACATCCCTGCTTTTATATTCAAGTCCTCTCAAAATAAATACCGACATCGCATTTGCCTGCCTGACTACTGACTCAACCTGCAAGTTAACCTTGAGAGAATCCTGGACTAGAACTCCCAAGTCTCTTTGCACTTCAGACTTCTGAATTTTCTCCCTATTTAGCAAACAGTCCATGCTTTTATTCCTCTTACCAAAGTGCATGACCTCACACTTTCCCACATTGTACTCCATCTGCCACTTCTTTAACCACTCTCCTAACCTGTCCAAATCCTTCTGCAGCCTCCCCACCTCCTCAATACTACCTGTCCCTCCACCTATCTTTGTATCATCTGCAAACTTAACCAGAATGTCCACAGTTCCTTCATCTAGATCATGATCTTTTTGAAACTTTTAAAATCCTTGTATTTGACAAAGTCTTTACCAAATCTTGCTTCCACAGCTCCTTGGACAGCTGTGCTTGCCGTATCCTGAGATCCACACTCAGTGCCATGCATCGCCATATGCACACTTTCGACCTCTCTCTCCATCAGCACCACCTCACACTGGCTCAGAGTTGTCCTGCGCCCCCAGTTTCACTTCATTCTCTGGCTTATTCAATGTTCTAAAAAGAAAGGTTTTCTTTACCTTTCAGACGTTAAGGAATGCAAGCTGGAACAACTCAGAGGTACCACATTCATCTGGAACTGTTCCCCCTTCCCTTCCCTCTGACTCCATCCTTTCTCCTGACACCACCTCTTGTTGGCTATTTACTATCCCTTCTGAACTTCCGTTCTTTAATGCTGAACATTCCATACTCAGTAAAGATCTTAGTTTTATCCCTCTGCGTCCCCACCTCATCCAACTGCTAGATAGGTCTTCAGCACTTTTCATTCAAACCCAACACAATATGCACAGCACACTAGTGTCTACCCTTGGGAGTTTGACATTTGATGGACAGGGCAGCTTTGATGCCCCCACTGGCCTCTGGTTAAAATCATCCTGTGCCTCTGTAAAACAAGTTGGCCCTCCTGTTAACTTATGGAAGTTAGTTTTTAATTCTGCTGGCCAAAAGACAAGGTCCAAGACCTTCGTAATTTTTGATGGTGCCTTGCTCAAGGAGCAAGCAAGCAGTACAAAGGAAAATGCGCCTCTCTCTCTAGTCAGTACTGCATGCTGCTGCAAGTATCTGAATTTACAATTCACGTGCTTTAGAGGTATAATTTCTAAATTAGGAATTGATGTGTTAGATGTAAGATGAATGAAACCATCCAACTGAGAAACAATATTGAATTAAGTGGCAATTCAAATACATATGGTTAATCACTGATTCACAGGAGGCCTATAATTATTTCAGTAAGGGATTTAAATTATTTGCCTAGTTCCCAGATCAAAAGATCCAAAAGCACCTTTGTAAACAATGGAGTTCCTTGATTGAACCAACAAGTCTACTGAAAAGGGTTATTAACTCCATCAGGGAAACAAATCATTCATGACGGTGCCAGAATGTAAGGGGGTTTTGAAAATAAAAGATAACTAATTTATATTACATTTTGGAACATGCCAAGTATATCACACTGCCAAGTTGATATTCTGTGGGGCTTATGGATATTTGATTATTTTCTGGTAAGTTTGCTCAAAGAAGACAATCAACATTTCAACTTGGAAACAGAAGGATACAAGTGCAACTTACTGGGGAAAGGAACAAAAGAGATAAATGTTAGCCAACTTTAAACGGAGAAAATAGCACTTTATCATTCATCATGTAGAATGCAGGTTGGAGCTTCTGCTCAGTTAGGAGGCAAAGATCATGAAGGAAAAGAGGCTGAAAGATTTGCCTATATAGAACTGAATGAAGAAATCTATATTGGCCTTTATAGGATACAGGTTGAAGAAGGCAGAGAATATGTTAAAGAGAGAGTGTCTGCGATAGGGTTAGGTGTTGGAAAGTGGGACTAAGAGCTACACAGGAGTTTAGAGCTATTAGGAACCAAGGCATTGAGTATGCATGCTGTGAATGCAAAGTGCAGGGTCCAAGCTGAGCTGTGAAGTTCACAAGAATGAGTTTAGAGGAAAAGTTGGAGGATTTCTTGGCCAAAAGCTAATGAAAGAATCCCTATGAAACCTCACACCTTAAAAAATACCGGAACACTGAGAAGAAATTAATTTCAATTCTGTCAAGCTGTGACATACTTGGTTCGAATTCTAAAGGAGAAGTGAATGAATCCACAAGATCCCATAATGTGACATAATGTGTTTAATAATAATGAAACTCATGTATGGAATTAGGAAGCAAAAGGGGAACTGTGTTGTCTTAACAAAATAGAGTTCCAAGTAAGTCATGAATGCATTATGATCTTTATACATGTGGAGTAAAGTGTATTTTGGTTTCAAATATGAAATCCTGTGCATGTTTCTTTCAGTGAATCACTGGGTGCTTGAATTTTTCTTTAAACATTAACTGTCTCTATGGAGATTGTCACATTACCCAGACAAATTCACTAACTATGATGGAATGAGGTGGAAGAGCAAATCAGTATCATTGTAAACAAAAATAAAGATTGCTGGAAAAGCTCAGCAGGTCAGGCAGCATCTGTGGAGAGAAATTAGAGTTAACATTTCGGGTCACTCAACCTGAAATATTAACTCTGATTTCTCTCCACAGGCGCTGCCATACCTGCTGAGCATTTCTGGCAACCTCTATTTTTGTTTCTGATTTACAGCATCCGCAGTTCTTTTGGATTTTATTCAGCATCATTATATCCTGGATCAGCGCAGGAAGAAGTCTCATGATCTCATCAGAGCTACAAATGTGAGACTCCCCTTCAAAGTTTCCCCAACTCTCTACTTTGCTTCAGCAACAGCAATATTTTCTTCCACTTCTACTCCACACTACCCATAACTGCCTGTCAATCACAATGGACTCTTCACTGTCTGTACCTGCATATTCCGCTAATCACAACTATTCCCCTCATGTCAACACTTGTGTGTCCTTTTCTCTCATATCCTTCTTTATGTGAAAAGAAAGATTGAATGATGTTTCTGAATCAATGCAGTATTCTGAGGCATCCAGTTCTGGGCAATTTATAAGCTGCCAAACATTTTCAAAATCCCTTCAGCAGGTTAGAGACTAACCCAGTAGAAAAAAGCTTGCTAACCTAGAGTGACACACAGTCACTTAGTTATGACAGTAAACAGTAAAGAGCTTTACACAGTGCCCTAGCCAAGTGGGAGTTTGGTGGTCACATTAATTAGTACAGATTTATTGTTATTGGAATTTCACAAATAAACATTGCCTAGTAAAGAGTTCATGGAAGCAGTCACATCAATTAAATATTGGACACAGTGATAAAGGGAATGTATCGGCATTCCACAATATGTCGAGTTCCCCGCTGAATTGTTCAACCTTTTAACCAAACCTTGATCAAAGTCCATAGGTGTAGATTGCACCTACAAAAGAGAACATTCATAGATTCACTAGCAACTGAACCGACCAGAGTTTGGTAAGCACTTTTTGTGAGCATTATTTTGCCCTGAATTAATTTTTGGATAGAAATATGGCTCGAGTTTAATTGTCAGCAGCAAACATCGCAATATAACTAGTGTCCCCACATTCCCCTGTGTCTGTTTTAATCATTTGACATATTGCTAATCTGTATTTTCAATTTCACTGCTGTTCAAATATTGACTGCAATCATCTACTATTCAGGTTTAATTGAATAAGCAGGTAAATAACTTTTCATTACAAATTATACTCCTTCAGTGCAACTTAAGTAAAGCAAAAAAAGTACAGACACCTTGGAATTCTCAGTGCATACAACTTCCTGTTGAAATGACTTTTCTATAATAACGTTTTATAGTCCTGGCTCAATTTTTCAAACTAATATAATGCAACAGTATTTATTTAAGTATGATAACTTACTTCTGAAATAGTATTCTGCAAATGGGATGATCAATAAATATAAATAGTTTGTTAATTACTTAAAGTAATTATGTAGAGATATAATATTACTTATTTGGAGTCAGACATAGACATAATCTACTGAATTGTCTCCAACTGGGCTGTCAGAATTTGTGATTAGGAGATTCACACAGATTTTAACTGAAATCTTTTTATGTTAGCTGTGGTCTTGTCCCTGAACCAAAGGCAATATCTAATCGCAATGGTTTTATACTTTATTTTTGGTTACATCAATAATGCTGTTTAAATTAGAGATGGCATTAGTACAATAGAGAGGAATGACATATGGTCAGGAAACCAGAATGTCGAAGTAGTTTAGATAGTGATGACATATGATAAAGGGAAGAAGCCACTTAAAGGAGTGGTATACAGACTTTCTAATAGTAAATACACATAAGATGGTAAATATAGGAAGCAATCATATGAGCATGTTAGCAAGGTTTGGCAACAATCATGGGGAATTTTAATGTAGGTATAAACTGGAAAATTGAATGGGCAAAGATAGGCTCAACGAAGATTTCATAGATATTTTTCAGGATGGTTTCTTAGAGCCGACCAGAGAGCACGCAATACTAGATCTGGTGTTGTGCAATAAGATAGGATTAGTTAGTGACTTTGAAGTGAAAGTCCCAATAGTTATTGATGACCATAATATGATTGAATTTTACATTCAGTTTGAGAGAGAGAGAGAGAGATAGAGAAAGAGAGAGAGAGAGAGAGGAGTGGGTCCAAGACTAGTATTTTAGACAGAAACAAGGGTAATTATGATGATAAGAAAGTAGAGCTAACTGAAGTGAACAGGCAAATTAGGTTAAGAGGGAAATCATGTTTAATCAATCTGTTGGAGATCTTTGAGGAAGTAACACATGCTGTGGATAAAGGGGAGCTGGTTGACGCAGCAGACTTAGATTTCCACTGCAACTCATAGAGATATAGCTGAAACTGAAGGAAGTCTCTCCCAAATCGGGAATTTGCCTATTTTCAGTGGCATTAGTGGAGGCCAATACACTGATGTGAAATGGTTTAGGTTCCACAAGTATCCGAGACATTGATACCAATCTGCCAAGAATTGAAATTATTCTTTATTACAGACTGACCTTTTGATCGGAGAGGTTAAGATCCATCAGCTGATTTGTGAGGGGAAGGTGGGAGTAAAGATGTTTTCCAAGGAGGAGGGGCCCACGTTTATAGCAGGTATAGGCTTCCACCAGTAGCAGCTATGCCCACTTGGTCCCAAAAGCTTGGGAATGCCTTCTATTCATTTAGAAATCTCCTTAAAACCTACCACACTTTTTCTAATACACTGTATGTGATTCAGGTGTCAAATATTGGTAGGTAATTACTTCTGTGAAGCACCTTGGGACTACTTACAACCTTAATGATGATGATCAAATGTGAATTGTTGCTCAAGATCTCAAAATGTGCAGGGGCCACTATTCCAGGCTACCGGGTGATACTGGCAGTGATCTTGAGTCTAGCTTTTTCAGGTAAACCCACATTCTCTACGCTGTATGGTAATCTTCATTTGAAAGACCATTCCTCAACGTCCATGTGGCCTCAGTGTGGACTGGTGTTGCCAATTCTCAAAATTGGCCTGGAGTCTCCAGAACACTGCTGGGATCGAAAGCCCTGAGTAAAATCACTGGGACATTTAAAAAAAAGAGGGTGCACTTTCATTCACGCAAATGTGATCCCGTCCATCTGGCTATTATTGGAGACGGGAGAAAATGAACAGATATTTGACTAAGAGCCAAGCATCAACCTGTCAGATCACACAGGAGTCTGATTGGTTGGTGGAAGGATAATGTATTAGGTGAACAACTGGCCAATGACAATACTGTGATGTGGAAAAAAAATGTATTTTTAATCAACCTAATCAGAGTTGCTATCACACACCTCTGAAGCAGGTCAGACTTGACGCTAAGCCTCCTGGTCCAGGGTAGGAACACTATCATTGCACCACAGGAGGGTTCCATAACATGGATGCAGTGATGAAATTTTAAGACGACATTGGTAAACCCCAATATGGATTGGGAGTGAATTTCAGCTCACTGGGTCTGGCAGTCATCATATCATGAGTGTAAATGGCATGAAACAAAATATATATATTCAATTCACAAGGGGCAAATTAAACTTCTTTCTGCCACCCAGATGTTAGGGTGCAATTTCGTTTGCTGAGTGAACAAGAGTTTCTGATGAAGTTACAATGATCAAGAGGTGGGGCAATTTATCCTTCAGTATCCAGTCATGTGTGAGATGTATATGGGCATGATAGTTGTATTAATAGTCACTACTCAAAATGATGACACATGGTTTGGTGTGTATTGTAATACAGTGTGTATACTTACTAAAATTAGCCTATATTTTTTCTGCATTTTTGATATATTAAAACATCCTGTCTTCAAAGGAGCAAATATTAAATGAAATTTGACACAGAGCCACATAAGGAGATACTATGGCAGATGATCAATAAATTGATCCAATTTGTAGATGATAAGGACAAGTGAGAGACAGAGGCTGGGAAGTTTGGGGAAGAAATGCCAGAGCTTAGGGCACAAGCAGCTTGAAGACAGAACTGCCCAATTGTGGAAAGTTGAAAATCTCACATGTACAGTGGGTGGAATTGGAAGAACACAGGGGTCTCAAAGGAATAGGTGCTGGAGTAGGTTACAGGAATTGTGATGGTGAGACTTTGAAGAGATTTGAAAACAGAATGATAATGTTAAACATTGAAGTGTCTCTGGACCAGGAACCAATGTAGCGGGTGATAGATGAATGGAACTTGCTGTGTATTAGGATAAGGCAACGTGCATTTTGAATGAGTTCAAATTTACTCCACTTGTAGAGGAACTGGGCCAGGTTCCAGGCTGCCTGAAGCTGTCCCCAGTGATGGTGCGTGAAATGAACTCTCCTCACTCCCCTGCTGTGTATTTAAACAGGTTGCAAGTCCAACTGTACATAGCCACATGACCTTTCACATTGGATAATCATTGTCGATGCTACCAAGTTAATCATGAACATGACGGAAAGTTCAGTAATGCTGTTATTGCTCACAGTGCATAACAGAAGTGGTTGTCAGCAGAATTCCTGTTCTGGTGCTGCATGTAACATTAAAGTAATAGACCTTTGCTCCACATGTTGAGGTATTAATAAATGCATGAGAAATATTGCAGCATAATGTGAAGCCTCAGCTCTTAAAATGTATATGGCAAATGTTAATTACCTCTCTTGGAAAATCCTTTTGGTAAGAACTGAGGATTGTTTGACCTCATGCAGAGCTTTAATATGAAATTATTTTGGGTCAGGTGCCAGTGTATGTGGAGAGCTAAGGAAATTCTACTCTAAAGTTTGTAAAATATGAAGGAAGATATTAAGGAAATGTCATGCATTTCCTGAGTAATTCTCCAACTTGGAAGCTAGAATTTTATGCTTAATGGAGGGGGAACATCCCCAATAAAATTCTCACCTTAAACCAGTCGGACAGCAATATGGAACATTGATTGGTTCATATACAAATAAAGATCCCTCCACTCCACTTAGTTTACCACCTGTCAGAAGGAAAATGTTAAAAGTTTATATTCAACAAGTTATAGTAGGGCACTTAGATAAGTTCAAGGTCATCAGGCAAAGTCAAATGGGTTTGTGAAAAGGAAATTAAGTTTAACCAATCAATTGAAGGAGGTAACACATGCTTTAGGAAAAAGGAATACCAGTGGATGTACTGTACAACACTTCTAGAAGGCATTTATTAAGGTGCGATATTCAAGCTTATTGCAGAAAATAACAGCTCATGGTGTAGAAAATAGCATATTGTCAAAGATAGCAGATTGGATAGCTAAGCGGAAACACAATGTAGGCATAGATGGGTCTTTTTCAGGTTGGCAGGCTATAATGAGTGGTGTGCCAGAAGGATTGTACTGGGATCTCAACTGTCAAAATGGTTTAGATGAAGGTGTGGAAATTATAGTTACCAAATTTGCTGAAGATAGATAGGCAAGTAAATTGTAAAGAGAACATAGGAAGGTAATGGACATAGATAGGTTCAAGGTTTTTGAGAAGATTTGTAGCTTGGGTTGTTGATGCGGTGTTGACTTGCTCGCTGAGTTGGTAAATATTATAAACCGTATTATAACCACCCTAAGGAATCTGCACAAAACGGGTGAAATGAACAAATTCGATTGCCAGAGAATAACACCAGAGGGATCAAACACACCCTGCTTCTATGGACTCCCTAAGGTACACAAGCCGGGCATCCCCATCAGACTCATAGTCTCACTGCCAGGTACACTGACATGCAGGCTAGCGAAAGAACTACAAAGGAGACTGAAACACCTAGTAGACGGTTCAAACCACTCCATCCACTCCGCCCAAGAATTCCTCAATATTGTCATGGACACCAGCATAGACGAGGACGGGATCATGGTCTCCTTCGACGTGACTGCACTATTTATCCTCATAAACACCTCCCTTAGCTAAGGAAACACTAGCCTCGCTACTGGACAGACCAGGGATATAGACACCTGGCAACACCAACAGCATCAG